AAAAAAAAAAAAAAAAAATATCTTGGTTCGGCTTACAGTTTCATATTTTGTCAAACTGAAATTTCAACTAACGATTGAGCACCCCATTAAATATTTAGAGATGGAGAATATATTTATTCGATAATTCATGGAATGACCCATCAAATATTTAGTGCGTGTTTGTTTGTTGGGATGGGATTGGACTAAAATAGTGCAATAGTATAGGATTGTACTGATTGGACTAACATTCTCCCATGTTTGTTACATAGGATAAGACTTAGGATAGCTTTATGTTTAAAAAAAGAAAAAAAAAAAGTGTCTATATGTAACATAATGGTGTAAATTACTTTATTACCCATGTGAATAAATCGATTAACAAAATTGGGATTTTTCCCCAATCTCCTCATAAACTCTCATCCACCATTGATGGGGCTCGAATTCTCCTATTTGTTCTTTTGTTCGTAAAAAATCAGACCCGAAAAAGACTCCGTCTTTATGGAATTGCGAGGTACAAAAAAAACGCAAGTCTCAGTTGAATTTCGGTCTTGGTTTGGTGACTTTTGTCGATAGAATTTATAAATTGCAAAAACCAGAAAGAAAAATAATGGACCAAAAGAAAAACTGAATTTTTGTTTTCTCAATCAAACGCAATTGCAAACTCGAAAATGTTGGCAGGTTAAATCCGTCAGAATTCTGCAGAAACCAAATAATCAAAATAATTATTTTTGAAAAATAAAATAAAAAGGACGTGAGATGGGAGATGAAAATTTGCAGTGAAATTCTTTTGCTTTTGATAGAAGAATGAAAAGATGAATAATGCCAAAACTAATTACAAGTGGTCGTAATTTGTGTTATAGGGAAAGTCAAAACTGTCCAAAAATTATTAAAATATGGGTAAATTCGACTTTAGCTTCCTGGGATTGGATTCATCTCATGTAAATGGAGGGATTCAATTATCCTGATTTCATAGGATAACTCACTTTTTTAAACCGGGCTGACCCAATTCCGCGGGCCTTAATCCAACAAACCAAACACAAGATTAGGCTAAGATTGTGCGGGATATCCTACCTAGTCCTACAAAACAAATAGGGGCTTAGAGATGGGTAATATATTTATTTGATAATTCATGGAATGAAAGTTTGTTGTGTTGAGAGTTGAGACTGACCAGAAAAATATCCATAAATCCAAGCAAGTTCCAAAGTAAAAAATAAAAATAAAAAATAAAAAATAAAATAAAAAAGAAGCTTCAAATCTGAATCCAAAACAAACAAAAGAAGAGTTCCCACTTTTTATCATAATGCCAACATATCAACAAAAGGTAACAGAAAAGAAAGTTTTCATAGCATAAATTCTTACTCAGTAATAGATATTGGACCACATTTAAAAGGTGTAACACAAGAGCATAATCATTTAGATACCAGTCGTCGAGTAGGCTTGACTGCATCCAACCACTCCAAACTACTCTTATGTACCACAAAACTGTATTGAAAAACATAGGAAGGTAACCCGATTTCATCGATTTCTTGCGTGACAAGATTGTATAGAAAAAGTGCAGTCCATTTAGTCTTAGAGTAAGATGTCATGGCCAACAACTCTGGATACTTGACCCAGCCTACCGGGAGCAGAACTTCTTTGGGTACCAAACCTAATAGGTTGAATCTTTCTTTGAGAACCTCCAAGCAAAAATCGGCCTTCTTTCTCCATTCCCCTGTTTCGGGTCGACTCATCTCCCAAACCTCCCACGAGCACTTCCCGTAAGGACGCAATAAAGACAGATATTTTCCGGTTGATAAGTAAATATATCTTCGACTCCCAGGAGTCGGGGGAGGGCAGGGAGTCTCTGTAATAGTTTCAGTCTCCACATTAAGAGTCAAGAGATGGTGGGTACACGGATGGTTCCAATGAATGAAACCATCAGTAACCAACGGAATATTGGAGAATGCCATACTTGCCTCCTTTGATACGAGTCCCAAATCAACGTCCCTCCATGTTTTATCAACTCCAGCGGTTAATATATGACAAACCGCGCGAGGGGTTTTTTCAGGAGGATAGAATATAACCACTTTATACTCCATGGAAGCCGGCACGTACGCCATTGCATATTGTGCTTCTGAAACTTGACCAACGAATGGAGGGAGAAGAAAAATTTTCCCAGTCGTGGGATTCGTGACGTAAAGATCTTTGCAGTCCAGACTATTCTCTAACCACAATCCATTACAACTACTATCGACCTTACACCTACGTTTGTACTTCAACTGGGTTATCTCGACCCCTCCTCCCCTTCCCCTTTGAGGGAGGATTAAAAGTGATTCCCAAATCATGGATTTTAATAAGAGACCATAAGTAGAGTGGTGTAAGTAGGCGGACATGAAATCACGGGTGTGGATGATATGGTACCATTTACGGCAAACAAGCCTTGCCTCGTAAATCTGTTGCTGGCGGCCTGCAGGGATTCGAGCAAGGACTTCAAACAACAGCTCATCAGGTAGAGATTCTATTGTTTTCCCACTGATAATCTGCATATATATTATTCATCCAATGTTCCATCAACAGATGACAAAACAAAAAGGGGATAACTTTTAACCTAAAAAATCTATACCGAAATACTGCAAATTAATAGATTAAATAGAGATTCTACATATATGAAATTTAACCTAACCTGGTGAAGGGGTGGAAGCAGGAATTTGAAGGGCTCAAGCTCTGTATTCGATTCTTCTTCACCTGGCCGTCGAGGAGGCGGTGGCTGGCGCAATTTTGATGGTGGGAAAGCGAACTTGGGTAGAGGTTTCCTCGTCAGCATAGCTCAACGAACACCCTACAAAAATCTAACCTAACAAATAAGTAATCAGTTTGGTTGGGGGATTGCCGATACTCGATCAATTCATGGTTTCGCGATGAAAAGAAAGTGATAAATTCGCCATCCCTTCCGAGGAAAAGGAACAAGTATGCCGGGGACTGCTGGAGTGTATTTAGGGATGAGGTAAGGAGAGATGGTGAGCATGGGTTGGTCTGGAGATCGCTAAAATTCAATTTCTGGAACAGTATCAAAGAATCGGTTCGGTATTCAGGACTGTAAGAACGGTTCGGTTTAGTTCGGTTCGTATATTCGGAAATTTTTAATTATTTTTTAAATGACCACCTAGTTATACTTTATTTTTTATATTTTTTTAATAGAATATTTATCAATACTTTATCATACTAAAGATTTTTAAAATGTTTGGATATGGAATTTTTTGGTTTTGTTGGATTTTATGGTTTGGTTTGGTTAATTTTGAAAAAGGTAGTTTGGTTAATTGTTAGTGGGTATATTAAAATAATATTTAAAATAAAATAGTTAAAAATTTGATGTGATGGTTAGTTAAATTATTGTGAGTACCCAAGAGCGCTTGGATGAGATGACTTGGGTCTCTTCCAGCTTAACCAGTGGTCTCGTGTTCGAGCCCTGGGAATGCAGCAGTGTTAAAACTCTTGAGGGAGAGCTTTGCCGCCCTTGTGGTCCTACCCGGCTCGATTCCGGATTAGTCGGTTCCCCTGTGGATCCGGAAACCAGAAGGTCCCTGTACCCAAAAAAAAAAAATTATTGTGAGTGGATGAATAGTGAACTAAAGTTGATGTGGTGTGTAAGAATGATTGATTGATATTATTTAATTATATTGATAATATTGATGATAGTGAGTTAAGTTAAAGTTGAGTTAAAAAAAGTGGTTGAGTTAAAATGTTAGTTTTTTTTTTTTTTGGATTTTTTTGTATACAAACATGTTCTTATTTTTAAATCAACTTTAAGTGACTCTAAATTTTAGGTAAGCAGTGTCAAATGGGTCGGTCTGGTCCGGCCCGCGCTGGCTCGCGGTTCAAACGGGGCGGGCCAAAATGGCCCGCATTTCTACGGGCTGGGAAATACATGGCCTGTGGCCCGGCCTCATTAGCCCGCGGGCCAAATCGGCCCGCCCGCGGGTTTTTTGGTATTATGCACTCTTATATACTTTTTGGTTTGTTTATCCTTATATTTACTAGTGCATTAATAAACTAGTAAGACTTCATGTGTAATGATGTTAAATATTTGTCATCCAGTTTTTATTTTTATTTTTTTATGAATAGTTATAGGGTATTCACGTGGAGGAGAGACTTAATTCACATAAAATATTAATTGATTCATTAATATTTTTATTATGTAAAAAAGTGTTTCATGCGCATTCACAAATCTTAATATCATTGTCAAATTTTAAAAAATATAAAATAAGTAAATATGAAAGAAGAAGGAGAAAAAAAAAGACGATAAAGACAAAATCCAACAAAATAAACTTGAACGACGCAAGTTAGAAGTTAGAAGTAAAATAAAAAATAACTAAATTTAAATAATATAAAACTAACAAATAAATAAATAATAAAAAAAAGGGCTGGACCGCGGGCCAGCCCGCCCCAGCCCGCTTTAGACTGCGGGCTGAACGGGGCGGGCCAAATAGGCCCGGGATTGAACGGGCTAGCCAAGCAAAGGCTCAAGCCCGTCCAGTTAGGCGGACAGACGGGCCAGCCCGCGGGCCATGGCCTGTGTTGACAGTGCTAGGTAAGACTAAATGTGTGCAACTAATATCAAAAATTTAAAATTCAAACATAATATAATATAGTTTTTTTATTAATGTAACATTTCTTTAATCTTCCATACTAGGTTAGTTATAAGATAGAATAAGACTAAGTTTCCACAAATTTAAGTAAAGTTTAAATATTGTTTTAGACAAAATATTTCTTTAACCTTTCATATCATTTTAAATATTTTTTTTTAAAAAAAAAAAAGAGAAAAGTTCAATTGTAGATCAAGTATTACTAAGCATGAAATTTAAGTGAAGCTTAGTTGTTATTATTATGTTTTATTTACATTTTAAAAATTCGCTAAATAGTTAGGATGAAAGTTGACATAACATATATTAATAACACATATCTATTTTTTATAATTTAGTTCTTAATTTCGGTTCTTCGGTTCGGTACGGTATGAGAGGGTTCGGTTCGGTTCTCAGTTCAGATATTTGTGAAATCTCTATAACCGTACCGATTATTTTTCGGTTCGGTCCAGTTCGGAGAAAGTCAAACAGTTATTTTTCGGTTCGGAGTGATTTTGATTCGGTTTTCGGAACGGTTCGGAATTCTCCGAGTCACATGCTCAGCCCTAGTGCCACCCACCCATAGATTACTACGCCGCCTTTTTTTTCTGATGAGCAAGAGATCTTTCTCTAGACCTTGGAAAAGCATGAAAAAAAAAATCGACTTGCAATGTGCAATAAATATGTATTAAAATGAGGAAATAGCTATTTGGTCCTCAAGACGAATAAGTTTTACCGTCAAATAACAAGTTAATTTTTTCACCCATAAAACAATAAAATAATTATACGATAAGTTTTGCGATAGACAGAGGAAGATAATCGATAAAGTGCGAAAACAGTATATGAAAAACTATGCGACAGATAAGTGAATATAATTGATAAAATGAGAAATATTATGCAAAAAGATATGTGACAGACATGCGCAAATAATTGGTAACGGGCGGAATATTTATGCGAAAAACTATGCGACAGAGATGAAGATAATTGATACTAAAAGTTATTGCTTGGAGTTACATGACATCTGTAATGTAGATGAATATATAAAACTATCCACGAAGTGTTGGGGCTTGGTTAGGAACGTCCAAATGTTAGTCACTGATCGTCTGCGAAATAAACCTTAGCGCAACAAAACTAGAGTTAAGGATTGAACTCTTACGGTTTAAATTTATAGTATAAACTGGGCTAAACGAACGATTCTAAGGCACATCCTCTACCTCGTCTGATCACTTGCCTTGGCCGATCACGTCTCGAGTTTCTCACCGTTCACGATCACTGCGTCACACCTCACTGGTGTGCAAATCGCGTCGTGCATCGCCTCGGAGCATCAACAGACTCCAGCTGGTCACTCCACGTCGCATAGGGTCTGCCTGAGTATTGTTGTTGTTGTTGTTGTTATTGTTATTATCATTATTATTATTTATGAAATTTTAAGAGGCTTGGTTATACAACTAAAGCCAATTAGCTTATTTAAAAAATTCTTAAGAGAAAATAAACAGTTTAAGAAAAAATTTTGCAATATATTTTTTATACTTATTGACCTTCTATATATTATTGAGTATGAATTATAATTGGTTAGGTTGAGTAATAATTATTATATAATAGAATAATTGAAAACATGATTACACCTTAGTAAAATAAAATTATGTGAACGAAAAGATATATAATACTCCTGAAAATTTATAATCATGCCTGGATCATAAGTCATGCCATGAAAGAATTCAATGCTTGACGGAGAAAATTAACAATATATATATATATATATATATATATAGTTAGGATCATATGAGAATGGTATATAGTGAAAGAAATAAGAATAATTATGGACCATTAGATATAACATATCAATGATCCTGATGAAGTCAAATGTTAGTAATTAAAGTCAAACAAGCAGTGGCATTTTTGTAATTAAATGGTCATATATTGGACAAATATATTTATAAAAGGATAATGTTGTATTTTGACCCACATACCAAACCCTAATATTTATGGGAAAATTCTATTAGAAGGCCTAACTTTTAGTAATTGTATTAATCTAGGGCCTAATGTTTTTATTTTTTCAATAGAAGACTTACATTTTAGGTTATTCTTACTTTAAGGCTTACATTTTAGTTAACTTTTATTTATTAGGCCCAACTAATTTTACCTTTTCATATAAATATGTAAAACAACTATTATGTGAATAAATTATTATTATTATTATTATTATTATTATTATTATTATTATTATTATTATTATTATTATTATTATTATTTATTTTGTAATTTATATTTTTTAGTGAATTCAAAAAATATGTAATGGAAATATTATTTATATTAATAATATGAATATGTAATAAATCTAAAAAATAATATATATATATATATATATATATATATATATATATATGCAATCTACAAAAATATATAATTTTCAACAAGTATCAACTTTTGCTTTAAAAAAAAAAGTTAAAATTAATTTTTATTAAAAAAATTTACTGAAGATATTTATTACTTTTTATTATAAGTATGCAAAATATAAATTATATAATAATAATAATAATAATAATAATAATAATAATAATAATAATAATATTTTATTCACATAATAATTGTTTTACATATTTATATGAAAAAGTAAAGTTACTTGGGCCTTATAATGAAAAGTTAACTAAAATGTAAGCCTTAAAGTGAGAATAACCTAAAATATAGAGGAAATTGCACCACATACTTCCACATTAAAAATATATTACAATTTTCTACCCTTTATATTTTTATTTTTAAAATTACCTAAGAAACTACAAATATTTTCAATTATACCTAGAATTTAAATTTTAGTAATTTATCCTTTAATTAAGGTAATAATGAAGGTAATGGCCAAAAAGGTAACTTCTCCACGCGAAGTTAACAAATTCAGAGATAGAATGGCTGCGTGTTCGGTGAAATAAATTCATTGATCAAATTCTTGAACCTTAATTCTTTTATTTTTTTCTGGTCAAAAATTAAATTCTTGAACTGGGAAGAAAAAAATTATTGAGTTTGTAAAAGCAGATCCACCAGGGATGTCAGTAATGGAAAAACAACAAATGGGGCACGAACAAGAGAGTAAGTTCATTCAATATTTTTATTTTTATTAACAAAATAATTAGATGGCTGCGCGTGTCGTGGATGGAGATCCTCGGTGGCGGTGGTTCGCGGTGGTTGCAGGCCTCGCGTGTTCGGTGAATCG